AACAATATTCTAAAAAAATTTTTTTAAATAAACTTCGGGTTGGAGATGCGTTGTTACATCGTTGCGATATCGGAAATGTCAACGGCAAAAATATTCTAAACAAAGCAACCTGCCATGCGCGTAATGTCACATGACGTCGTCCTTTGACTTATCTGATTTTTTCTATTAATGTTTATCTTTTTTTCTAATCTAGATTTTTCCAGAAAAGAGAAAAACCAACAGAAAAGAAAATAGAATAGATAAGAAATACACCATATATCGTTGATTGAAGCTCCTGCAATTAGAGCACGTATAAATTGAAATTATCAAAGGAATAAAATATTTTATTTCTGATTTTTTCAAGCACCTGCTCTGATAATCAAATACTCTCATGCATGATATTCTTCATAAGACGATATAACAACACGTTCGACCCGTTAAATATTTAAACACTCTGTATATCTAGTTATTCATACATTATGACAGTTGATTCTGGCAATAAGAAAAATTAACAATATATTACACAAAATATTATACAAAATAAAAAAGTATTACATTTTGCTAATCTTATGCTTAATCATAATAGGTAAGTTTTCAAATTAATCATCATTTTTCAAATTTACTTTGTTATAGTGTATGAATCTTTATCTAAGCATGATCCAATTCGCAAGATGACAAATATTAACGTAATATGAGGCAATTCATTTAATTTTCTTTATCACATGTAGATATTGTAACGCGACCAATTTAAAAAATTCTTCTAACCAACAAATCTGATAAATCGCTTACGATATATGGAGATAAGTATATTTTTGATTTTTATATACATCCTTGACGTACTAATATCTTTCATCATATCATAATCATATCATGATTCTTAAAAATTGTATATACATATATATATATATATATATATATATATATATATATATATATATATGCGTAGATGTCAGATATTTATCTTTTATGATAAACAATCTTCTGTATTGATAAATAGCTCATGTAAAATATATAGACAGAGATAATATATCTTTTTTATTGAGTGCACGTGCATCCTTGACAAATTATGCTCAGTCATGTGTTTTTCATTCAATTAAAAGATCTTTCTCATTGTCAATATTTGTTATTGCTAAAGAATTGCTAAAACGTTAGGATTCTGAACGTATAAATGCGTATCACACGTACATTCGACAAAAATAATTTCAACAGGAAAATTGTGTTTTCACATTATTTTCCCTTTTATAACTGTGGCCAATTATTTACATCAAAACGGGTGTCATCGTTATTTATTGCTGTACACAAATTCGCAACCGCATAAACTAATTATCTTCCATCAACTGAGTTCGTTAACAATAAAATTGCTAAAATAGCGTCAATTTCTGTTGTAGTTTAATTGTCAATGAAAAATATTTAGCTCAGTACGTTTTAACTATTAGACTGTCTTTGTGCGTTTATACAATTGCCCTTCGCTATGACCTAGGCAATTTATATCCCCCTGATATATGAGCTGATATTACATTTTATTATCATTTAGTAATCAAGTAATCATCATGCAAATCAACCTCTAAACCAGCATGCAAGGAGTCCAGTAATACATCGTTATTGTTCAATTATATAACATGCTGACTGTGACGTTTTTATGCTTAGTTGCAACACGTGTCATAATTATTTTAAACAAACATTATAATTTTTATGCTAATATATTATAATTATTGTAGTTTCAATTCAATTAACTGTAAGTATTGTTTATTCAAACTGTACCTAACATCTTTATCAATATTTGTAAGTTTGAGTTAAATATTATACTTTATCTCTGTTTTGTTCCAATATTTGCAAAATCATACATAGATCTAATATTACGTAATCACGCAAAATATCATTTAAACAAAGGCCACTAAATCAATTCTACGTGTAATGTAATTATCCAGTTAAAAAATGTTTGATCAATTAAGATCGATTATTTGATAACGAATTCATAATCATTTGAAATATCACGTTTTACACTTTTAAAATTAAGCGGAAATGGTTGGTAAGTGCAGCTTCATGTTATGCAAGTTTCTAATCTGCAAGCTTGAAATTCGTATTCATTTTCCTATAATGCTCGCATGTATGAAAACGCGTGCAATATTGCATGCAATTAGAATTTGGACAGCTATGCGTTGGGCGATGCGCTTCGCGTGATGCGAGTGATCGCTGAATAATGTAATTGAAAACTAACGACGCGCGGACCATTCCATTTAATCGGCTCATATAAATAAATCACATGGACCGTGAATACACCGCGCCGATACTTCAGAATTGCACACGGGTATATAATTTTAGTCACGTGGTCGTTAACGATTCAATCAAATAGCGATACTTATCGGCTTTCCCCGAGAATTAATTAAACCGTTAAAAATTCATCGCCATCGATCGACTTACGAATGCGTTTGGGAATTTCGTTCAATTGCACATTCTACCATGAAATGGTCGAAAGATTCCTCTGGAACAGCTGCTGACAAAATGTCCTTGCAAAATTTACTTTTAACGGCATTGATGTATAATTTAAAAAATGAGTCATTTCGTTCTCACGAATTTAAAAAATAAAGCAGATCATACTCAATATTTAATAATTGGTGTACAATTTAAGGAAATCATTATAAGGGAAATCATTAAGGATGTCATTTATGTATTAAATATTTAATAATTTAATTAAATTTTTTTAATTAAAATATTTAATAATATTTAATAATTTATGTTTTTTCACGAAAGAGAAAATATATTGTACATTAAAATTATTCTTTTTATATATTGCCCAAAACTATAATATAATATAAAAATATAAAATATAAAACTATAATTTAAAATTTTAATATACAATTCTTTAGATTACTTTTATAAAAATAGAACAATATGTGTTGACGATGTCTTTCACAAATGTATGAATATTGTCAAATTTAATTATATATTGCTTTTATTTTTAATATTACACTACAATATTCTTTTTAACGAAAAGTTGCTAGATAAAAATAATTATCACATAAGAAAAAGATTTCTTTACTCTGCAACATATGTATATCATATTAGCATTAGATTAAAATTATACAACCAAAGATAATGATTAATTACTACATGACTTGCATGGATGTCATAACGTATCCTTCTCTCTATATTTAATCTGCGGTTATGATCGTGTCTATTAACTTCCTGAACCAGGAAAAATAACTTAGACGAATTGTATGTGATAGAGGACAAAGTCTCATCTGTTATATAAAATTCTCGAGATTGCGTGAAGATATGAAATGTAGACAACTTGCTTATTTATCATTTGCGTGTAGATGATTAGCTGAGTTGTGTCATTTTTTTTTCCTTTTATAGTTCATCGCGTGTAATAAATTATAAGTATATAGATAAGTAGAAAGTGTTCACAATAAACATGTGATTAATAATCTTATATCAGCCTAAAACGTGTTCTTTGATCTATTACTCTTTAATTTATAGAAATTATTACCATTAGTGGAGTAATACATTAGTTATCTCTAAAAAAATATTTTAGTTTGTATACAATAAGATTATATCTAATAATAAAAATTAGTTTTTATACTTCAAGCGTACATAATTTTTTCGCTATATTATATTCCGAATTTATAAAATGTTTCTTTATAACATGCGTGATATATATAATATATACATTATATACATTATAAGACTCACCGGAACTTCACACGACAGATAACATTTTAATGGCTTTTTTATCACGACGTTTCAACATATATTTTTCGTTGAATAGGGCCATAAAATTATAATGCCTTTCGAATTGCGTAAAATCTTAAAATTTTGCTAAATTTAAAATAAAGTAAAACTAATTATAATGCAGTGAAATAAGAAATAAATTATGAATGTAGCCAAAGATTATATATATATATATATATATATATATATATATATATATATAATATACATAAATGATATTAAATATGTATAAATATAATATAAGTATTAGATACATATAACTTTACAATGAATCAAATATGTAACATTTTATAAGCAGCGCAAAATCTGCAGAAGAAATATTATTCAATGCATTAAATATGCGTTTGATAAATTGTTATCTTTCCCGACATCGTTAATCTTCTGAACAACAAGAATAATGCATATATTGATTTAGGAGCAGAAACTGAGATTTTTTATCTTGAACATCACATATGAATTTCATATCTCAAGATAACGCATATGATAGGCGATCTTCATGAATAATATTTCGCTGTATTTTTATTGTCCAGAAAAAATAATTTATTATTCTGAAAATGATAATTTTATAGATACAACGACGAATAATGCATGAGTTAATTTTACGAATTATGCATTCTAAAAATCCAACGGATTGAATCTGAAAAATCTTCTGGAATTTTAGAGTCATTATATATATATATATATATATATATATATATATATATATATAAATATTTAATAATTTAATTAAATTTTTTAATTAAAATATTTAATAATATTTAATAATTTATGTTTTTTCACGAAAGAGAAAATATATTGTACATTAAAATTATTCTTTTTATATATTGCCCAAAACTATAATATAATATAAAAATATAAAATATAAAACTATAATTTAAAATTTTAATATACAATTCTTTAGACTCTAAAATCCAACGGATTGAATCTGAAAAATCTTTTGGAATTTTAGAGTCATTATATATATATATATATATATATATATATATATATATATATAATGACTCTAAAATTCCAGAAGATTTTTCAGATTCAATCCGTTGGATTTTTAGAATGCATAATATATATATATATATATATATATATATATATATCAGATATTTATTTAACATTTTACTCTCTTAATAAAATTATCCCCTTTCTTATTTCGCCACACAACATACATATAACTGCTTACTATATTCACATAAACATTGAAATCATTACTCTTCTTATCACTGTTATCGTTATCGCTAAATGTTAACTGGCGAATGTGATTATGGTTTATCGAGGGACAAATTGTCATTGAGTTGGCAAAATTTAGCCAGCTTGGAATGAATCAGGAAGTCCGTCGGTAAACGGATTATTATATGTCGGTGTTCGTGATGGTCGTCATCTATAGTCTATAGCGTCAAATGAGTGAACTTGTATCTGCAATTTCTTGCGAGAGTATAAAAGATTCCACTGTTGCCAGTATAAAACCTGTCACTTCTATTCCGAGTATATCATTTCGCATTTGGTCTTCGTGCAGCGGCGAGTGCAGTGAGCATTAAGTGAAATAAATTCAGACGAATACAACTTATAAGTAAGTGTATTGACAGTTATTCTGTTTCCTTTCTATTGATGGTCAATCGAAACGACATAATTGTAGTTTATTTACACTTGTGAATTAAAATTTAAAAATAATTATGGTAAACTTTTGAATAATTATTGTGCTTCAGAAAAAACAAATCAAGATTATATTCAGTGATACAATTATATGCGTGTAAAATATTTAAACATTAAAAATCATTATAAATATAAAATATCTTAAAATGCAACAAAGTATATTCTACTGAATAAAAAAATTTAGAAAAATGTATACACCGCGGATTAGAAATACTTGATTGAAACGCTATCACAAAAATACCATATGAAATATGAAGAAGAAAAATAATAAGCCTGCTGATACATTAATGTGAAAGTAGATCAATGATATTTACATTATCTTTGTTTATTTTGACTGTTTAGTATTTGAAATCATGTTGAAAGTGTGTCAAATTTCTGTCAGTAACTTATATAAGTACCATTATCCACAGAGCAATACAATTTCACATTAAAATGTGAAATGTCTTGAAATACCTGTTATAATTTTTTACTAAAACATGTTTAGACTCACAGAAAAAAACAGTTTCCTTGAAAGAATGCAAATATGCTTTGATTCAAGTATATTTTATCCTTATAATAGCGCCAAATATAAATAATTTTGGATAAAGGATAATTTATCCTCAAAACAAAATGCAAAATATTTTTGGTTGAAACTAAAATTTACTTATAAATATTGCAAGGACAAGTGACGAGTGAGCATCGGATATAAACGGTACTTTCAAGTATATATATAATAATTCTTAGTTCAAATGTGACTAACAATAAGTTTGTTGTCACCATATGCGATTTTTAAAACAAGAATATATTTTAAGGATAAAATATACTTCACACAAACTTATTTATTATTAAGGCAAATGAAAATTTGTGATTACAAAGAGCATTCTATGCTTAAATTAATCAAATAGCGTTCAAGAATAAAAATATACTTGAATCAAGGATTTCTTTTTTCTGTGCTATAACTATTTTTATATAACTTTTTTCTATTCAGAAAATATTTGTGCAAATTGATCGTTTTATTCTAAAATATTTTGTACATATTTTTTGATATATAATCCAATATACTTGCCATAATTTGAAATAAAGTTTCGTTACAAAATGTACATATCAAAAGAGATTTCAAGCTCAGCTAATCGCCGTGTAATCTGCACGGATTGCGTTCTTGCAAGAAAGAGTTTAAGTTGTAAAAATTGCATGTTGCACGGTTGTAAGTTTTTACGAGATACTTGTGGATTTTACAGACAAAAATCTGCAGTCACGTAAATGATTTTCTTTAATATCTTAATCTTATACTTAAAATTTAATAATGTAAATAACAGAAAGTTTGTATCAGCACAAACGATCAGTCTTTCTTATTTCTTAAGTTAAAAATAATAAACTATAATAAACACATAGAAAAAAGGAATCCTTGATTCAAGTATATTTTTATTCTTGAACGCTATTTGATGGATTTAAGCATAGAATGCTCTTTGTAATCACAAATTTTCATTTGCCTTAATAATAAATAAGTTTGTGTAAAGTATATTTTATTCTTAAGATATATTTTTGTTTTAAAAATCGCATATGGTAAAAACAAACTTCACATTTAAACTAAAACTTATTATATATATACTTGAAAGCACCACTTATATCCGATGCTCACTTGTCACTTGTTTTTGCAATACTTATAAGTAAATTTCAACTTCAACCAAGAATATTTTGCACTTTGTTTTAAGAATAAATCATCCTTTATCCAAAATTATTTATATTTGGCGCTATTACAAGGATAAAATATACTTGAATCAAGGCATGTTAGCATTCTTTCAAGGATACTGTTTTTTCTGTGCAAAGTTTAAATTTGTCATTGTAATAAAAATATTTGCGAACTCTTCAAAAATAATGTGTACCGAATTTGATTTAAGAAAATTCATTCACTATTCACACAAGCGTGTTTTATGAGCAATTTCTACGATGGTGTTTTATGATGCTTCTTTACTAGCTACTGATGTGCTAGCACGTTATGTAATAAGGAAGTTGTTTTACGGCGCATAGTAGAGTATTTAATCAGGAAATATTTATAAATACTAAAATGTAAACTCTTTTATTACGATGTACTAGCATGCTAAAAAATCACATTTATGCTCTTTAATAGTGCAATGCGATGTAAGTAATTATATGTGTTACGCTTGATGTGCAATTTTATTACGCTTAAATAACTAGCAAAAATTTTTACACACATTATAATAGATTGTTTTTATCTTTATAATAGCAGGCATTAATTTTAGCACATTACTGTTATATAATGTGAGAATAGTATAATTCAGAAGATGACATTTTCAAGCTTATTAAAGCATGCTTTTAAAATACAAAATTTACGTAGTGCATTTAATTTAATTATTATTATCATTTCTTTTATACATTGTTATCGATGCACTTTATTTGTATCTTTATAATTAATTTTATAATTGTCAATCATCAATCATATCTCTGAAAGTATTTATTTAAAATTAATTATTATTCAAAATTAATTATTTATTTAAAATTAAGTTACAGTTAAAATAAAAAAAATCCATTTTAAACCATTTTATATTTTTATCTAAATTTTTTTCTAACATTTCTTCAGTATTCGAGATTTTAAAAGCATGTGTGAGAAATTGTTTAGAAGTTTTATTAGAAAATAAAACTTCTAAAAAATTTCCAACAGATGCTCAAAATCCATAAAATTAACAGGATTACAAACATTTAATAAATTATATTACGCAAAATTTGACGCGTTCTAATTTGCGCGTAAGTCAACATATCTAACGCTTTTTTATTTCTAACGGTTATATAAAAGCCAGATAAATCTATTTTGAAATACTTTTGACAGAGAAGATGTTACGGACGCGTCTAGTATAATCTCAACCGTTGAGCGAAACACACGTTTATAAAAATTTGAATATTTCTTTAAAGTGAAGAGAACCAGTATAAAAAAGGTTAAACACTAAACATTTCCAACAAGCAAAAAAATTGAGCATAATTAAACTACAAGCGAAAATTTTCATTGAATGTGCATCAATCTGAATAGTAAACGTTTGGTACATCGAAGAAGACTTATATTGTTTAATAAAATTTTAAATAATTGAGCAGAATAAGAAATTAGAGAAGAATAGAAGAAAATCAATTGAAGAAGAATTTGTGGCGTGATAATTCAACGTAAGGCAATAAAATTATTCATTTTTATCATATTATATTTATATTGAAAAAAAATTTTAACACATTTTCTCCTCGAAACTGATTTTTAAGTCATGACGATTTCTTAAAAACTATTAAATCAATTAATCTTAACTTCTTTATGCATGTACAAATACTATATGTCAATTTATGATCCAAACTAAAATTATAATATCTTTAAATTAACTCATAAATAGAAAAAGGAGCTGAAAGCCGAAGCCGTTGTTGTGGCCAAAGATTTTTTTCTTATAATACAAAGTATTAAGTAACACAAACGTTTCGGTCTGATTTAGATCTTCAGTGTGTTAATATTGATACAACTGATACACATATTAACACATAACAGAATTTGTATACGCAACTGTCTTGTAGGAAACATATTTTCTTGAAGTATTAGCGACCGGGTTAAAGACGAGGTTAAAAACATTAGTCGTTTTCACACCTATCTATTGACTATTTGACAATAAGCATAGAAGTATGACTGCTCTTTTTATCCTCACTTTTCGTCTTTAACCCGGCCGCTAATACTTAAAGATAATATGCTTCCTATAAGACAGTTGCGTATGCGAATTCTGTTATAATATGCGTATTTATTGCATCAATATTATTTAACACACTGAAAATGGTCTAAATAAGACCGAAACGTTTGTGTTACTTAATACTTAGTATTATAAGAAATAAAAATCTTTAGCCACGACAACAACTTCGGCTCTCAGCCCCTTTTTCTATTTGTGATTTCGAGCCATTTGAGTTAATTATTTAATTTAAATTAACTGTTGTGTGTCTTACGAGCCTTTTGAGTTAATTATTTAATTTAAATTAACTGTTTTTTATAATGATCAAAGTAAAAAGGCGTGCTATTAAAAAAAATTTTTTTAATTTTTTTATTCTATATCTATATATTGCGTTTATATATTGGACTATAACCAAATTAATTAATTAATATAAATTTTCACTTTTTATTTTAGATAAGTGGATTTATTAAAATGGTGTCTAAACAGTTATTTTCAAAGTGTTGTATCCAAAATTATAAAACCAAAAAAAGTTTAATTTTTTACACAAAAATTTATAAAGTTTTTTTAAATGTAAATAAAAATAATAAATGTAAATAAAAAAGATGTAGAGTATATATGTAAAATAATAAACTACAGAGTATAAATATATATATATATATATATATATATATATATGTAGAGTAATATATATTGCATTTCTAAAATTTGATTGATAAAATATATATATTTTTAATAAAGTTTATAATTCAAGAGAGTTTATTAGAAAACTATACCATTAAAGTTATATAAATGGGTCCTTTATATAAGCTCAGCTATCAAGTATCTTTAATGGCAGACAGATTTGATCCTGAGGAAACCGCGGAAAACATACCTGAGAAAACTCATCAGGGTGAAATATGGCGAACGTCGTTCGGCCACAAGTACGTACGCGATCGCGGCGCGCCAGACGCGTCGTAAATTTCTCGCAAATACCGCAACTCGATCACGTTCGACGGGATCTCGACGCGGTACGTACGTATGCCGTTCGCCAAAAAGGAAAAGGGAAAAGCGGCGTCCCATTACGCTCTTAATTGAAACAGCGATCTGAAACGCAGGGGAATGCCAGTCTTGAATATCGACGGACATGAAGAAAGAAACGGTAAAGCGAGCGAAAAAATGGCGAAGGAAGCTGGAAGCTGAAATGAGGGGGGAAAGGACGAGGGTTGAGGGAGGAAAGGGATGAGAGCGAGTTGGCTAGAAAGAAAGGAAACGTGATAAATCTTGCCGCGAACAATAAGTTATCGTAAAGAATCGTTTTCGCGTTTCGTGACACGGCGAGAAGAACAATGATTTGTCGGGAAAATTCTCCAATTCCAATTCCAATTTCAGAAATGGCCCTAGAGACACCGACATGGCTGAATCTGTGCTTCATGGAGAAGGCCTTGCGAAAGTCGGAAAACGACAATTCGATCCAAGTGATCGATATATTCTCGAGACCGGCCACGAACAAGGGTGACAACTACACCAGCGACATGATCAGAGTTACTGTCGAATATTCACGTGATCAAAGCGGCCGTAAAGTCACGGAAAAAAAAACAGTCATCGTCAAAATCGAGCCTTACCTTGAAGGCGTCCGTAGGGATCTTGTAAGTTTGTTTAATTTGTACAAATTTATATACAAAATAAGTATTCCAAAAATCATTAATTTCCGAGTTATAAAAGCGTTTTCTATTATTATAAATATAATTCATTTCGAATACGCATTATATAATATATTATATTTACACGCGATCCGCGATCGCTTGTTTCTTACGAGTTTCTAAGGTCTACGAGTTTATTAATATTGGTTAATTCTATGTCAAGATTATCTACAAACGCTCGCGCATAGCCTTGCGAATAGCCTCGCGAATAGCCTCGCGAATAGTCTCACGCATAGCCTCGCGCATCAATTACTACTGTTTTAGAACAATAATTGTTGACAGTAAATATATATATATTCAATATACAAATGAATTTAACTGCAACAACAGACTTTATTATTTAGTTTGAAATCGATTTCTCATCAACGAAAATATTGAGAAATTATATATCCTATATGTACAAGCACTGAAAATTGAGAATTATGCAAATTATGCAAGCAAATAAATAAAAAATGCCCTTCTCGAGCTTTTATAACACTACAAATATATTAAAGAAAAATTCTCTATTTGCTATGAAAAAATAAACTCTTTTTACAGATTGTTGCATCGGGTATTTTTAATACGGAGATGTTAATGATGACAGACACCTTAGATAAAATGAACAAATTGTTAGATCCCAAGTATCGTTTGGGTGGAAAAGGCCTATACGTACAAAGAGATGGACCAACTCTTTTAGTAATGGAGGATCTTGCGCCTCTTGGCTTTCGCATGGCCTGTCGTCAATCTGGTCTTGATCTACCTCATTGCACATTAGCAATTCGCGGATTAGCCAGATTTCACGCAACCTCTGTAGCCGTATGTGAAAAGGTAAAACATTATAAATCAATCGCTATATTCTATTGCAATGATTAAAGATTACTTCTACATAGAATTCATGTTAATAGCATTTCCGCAAGTAATATATGGAAAAGTATTCTCATTGCATTGCATAAATCATACATATTCTAAAGCTACGATTTCTTCTGCTATACTCTGTTAAATGCGTGCAATAATCGAGAATAATTGGAAACTTTACATAATAAACATTAATCTATTCCATAAAGCAAAATATATATTTCTAATTTCAATAAATTATTATAAATTTTATCAATATATATATATATATATATATATATATAAAATTTATACAATAAAAGTGTAGCTTTAGAATCATGTATATTAAATTCATTCAATTGTATGCTATAAAAATATTTGCTAATTAATGTTAAGGAAGACTTCAATACTGCAAGGAAGGATGTGTAATGACTTTATTATTTTATTTTATCAAGATGTCAGCAAAATTAAATAATCGTACTGCTCGTCACATCTCATATCTATAATATCAATGACAAACAAAATAAGCATTGTCCTGAGAATTTTTTAAATTTGTTAATATTAATTTTAATATAATAAATTTACGTGAAGTGGTTTTATATAGATAGATGAGAGTTTTAAAGCAAATAATTCAATAAAAATTTCTGGCAGCAGAGACTAATGTTTAATGACAAAAATTCAATATCCTTTTACTATAACTTTTATCACAACACATATTTTTAGTGTTTAATCAAGATATTTTAATATTTAGGAACCAAACCAAAAAGCAATGTATGGCAGAGGAATGTTCAACGACGAACATCCGCCAGAAATGAGTGGATTTTTCGTTCTAGGTGTTAAATGTTTAGGAGAGGAAGTAGCAAAGTGGCCAGGAATGGAAAAGTAAGATTTGCATGTAAACAATAGCATTTTTAAATATATATATTTTATAAATTAAACTTCGGCTCGTATACAATTAAAATATGTGATACAATAAAAGGCCAACTTAACGAGCTTATAAGATATTAATTAAAAAAAAATTTTTATTAATTTAAGTCCTAATATACAAAAGATAAGATAAACGTTTCGACTGTACGACAGTCTTTTTCAATATCATGCTAATATGTCAAAAAATTAATTTAGTCATATCAACCTTATTATAAATACAACATTTATGAGATTATCATATGACGAACGCAGTACAAAATTCATGTTTGTTGGCTTGAGTTAGAGCGTCAGAGTTTCAGTATGTCATGACAGATATCGATTTGTTTTTTTAAAAAGTACACATTGTGATTATGTTATCTAAAAAGAAATAATTGTTTAAAAAAAGTGTTATGTTTGTGACAAAAAATGTCGTTACATAATATAACAGCATGACATACTGAAACTCTGACGCTCTAACTCAAGCCAACAAACATGAATTTTGTACTGCGTTCGTCATATGATAATCTCATAAATGTTGTATTTATAATAAGGTTGATATGACTAAATTAATTTTTTGACATATTAGCATGATATTGAAAAAGACTGTCGTACAGTCGAAACGTTTATCTTATCTTTTGTATATTAGGACTTAAATTAATAAAAACATTTTTTTAATTAATATCTTATAAGCTCGTTAAGTTGGCCTTTTATTATATCACATTTTACATCATATTTTAATAGCATTTTTGTCGTCTATGATATCTAAGATAATATTTTATAATATATATATTAAAATATATATAATATTTAAAGCGAAAAAATATTAGACAAATCAAACACATTAACAAAATAATAAGTATAAATATAAATTGCGCTGCTTAGAAATATCGAATGTTAGTTTCATATTTATGAATTTCATTGATAGATATTCGGAAAAAATTATTAAATTGTCCGAGCATATATATAAAAAAGGAATAGAGGCATCCAAGGTTTGTGAAGATGATTTCAACGTTATCAATCACGGTGATTGTTGGGTGAACAATATGATGTTCAAATATGACGATGAAGGCAATCCTATTGGTCATATTTTTGTAAGTATCATCATGTCATATAAAAGATCACATACTTTTCCTAAACATAGACTCATTAATTATTTATTATTCCTTATACGTCTCAAAGATTTAGGATTGCATGAATTATATAATTCATGTAATTAAATTTATATCTACATACATATATGTAATAAAAATATTTTTTTATATTGAAACTACTTGAAACCGCTATTCGCTTTAAAAATGCATTTATAAAATTTTCCATATGCAATTACATATTATTACTGTTCAGCGTTTTACCTTTTTTGATTTTATCTAAAAAAAATTAATTTTTTTTTTTTTATAATAATTGCATTAAAGTATAATAATATAAAATAAAATTCTCTGAAGAGCGCACGATTAATACGCGTATATTTCAATTACCGTATCCACGTACACAAGCCGTGATATCGATTTTACTGATCAAGATAAAGAGTTGACGACAATATGCGATACTTGAGAATACAGCACGTTATGAATAATGCAATAAATTCAGTTTGATCGAATTCAGGTACATCCGCCACCTGTCTGCCCGTGTCACTCGCGCAAACTCTCGACTGCCGCGACTTCCTAAACAGGAATCTCACTTCTTTCCCCGTGCACGGATTTCATTTCCAATTCAATTGCCGGGCATTCTAGAGATCAATCGATCGAGAGAGTTCGTTTGACATTGCAGGTGGACTTTCAACTATGCGTCTACGCGTCGCCGGCGCTCGATCTTCTCTATTTCCTGAGCACGAGTCCTTCCCCGGATGTCATTGAAAATAACAAGGACGTTTTGATCAATGAGTATCTTAATACTCTATCGGCGACTATGAAACAATTGAATTGCAAAACACAACCGCCAACTATGGAGAAGTTGAAGGATTCCATAAAGCGAAGGGCTAGTTACGGAATGATAGCATCATTCACGGTATTACCGTTAGTACTGATCGATAAGAGTGAAGTCAAAGATTTGGATGAGATCATGGATAAGGATGGCTATACAAATCCGGGTTATAAGAATGAGATTTATAAACAAATTATGGCAAAGAGAATGCCTAAATATGACGAGATGGGTTTGTTGGATATCTGATATGTACTTAATGTGTAATGAAGAATACGAAAAAGAATTATATTACACTCTCCATATGTGCATTCAAATCAATCACGGCGAATGTAAAATGTTAATGTCATTCTTTTAAAAAAAGTTATGTTGCACTATATTGATTTAGTAGCAATTTTAATGGTTATATTGCTTATTAGAGGTTTTCACTTAGAATAAGTGCATGTGTTTTTATACAGGGTGTTTCTTAAGTAGCGGGCAAAATTTCAGGAATGGATTTCTCATGCTTAAAGAAGAAAAAAAATTATATCAACATAGGTCCGGAAATAATTAGATTTTGAATTATTAAGATTTTTGTAACACAAAATTTTTGTCTCATTTCTCGTCTTAGAAGTTCGTTTAAAAGCATCAACGATGTTTTTCGGGTTCGCCGGCCTATGTTTACAGGCAGACATATTGAATATTTCCTCTAATTGTGAGACGAGAAATGAGATTATGTTGATATATAACTTTTTTTCTTTTTTAAGCATGAGGAATCCACTTAAGAAATACCCTGTGTACATATGTATATATTAGTGTTTTATATATATATTATTCAATTATTGGACGTGTTAACAAAATTAATGTTAACGAAAAAGCAATAGAAGCAATATAATTTATTTTATGACAAATGCAATTAATGTAAAAATAATATATAGATTAATAATTTAATTAAGAAATAGAAAAAAACATTTGGTTATCATTTAACATAAAAAGTTTGAAAGCGGCGAAAAGGTGAAACATCCTATAGTTTATCATAGTTTTAATATCATGATTTGAAGTAAAATTAAATCTTTTAAATATACTTTTGCTAGTCATTAATGATTTTATATTAGTATAGTTATATTGTTAAACTTTATGTGTGCTGACATTATTATTATAAAAGAATAAATAACACTAAAAAATGATGCAAGACGTTAGCAGTATATGTATATTGATTAAATAATTACATTTTAAATTTTCCTGTAAGTACAAATGATAAAAACTATTGTTATTGCTCTAATAAAATTATATTGCAAAGCAAAAGTTATAAAAGTAAATAAAGAATATTATGCAAGTGAAAAAGACAATCATCTTGAAACAATCTCCATTATTGCAAATTTATAAAAAATTATTTATATAAAATAAAGATAAATTAGCATTATAATTTTTGTTATTTATCAATAGAAATTTTCATATTGCAAACATTAGAACTTATAATTATGTTCTGTAATGACTTACAACTTTCATTCTACATTTCGCTTATGAGGTTATAAAATAATCCCTTTTACGATGCAAAATAAGAGAGTATATAATGTTTGACCTCGTTGACTTAGATTAACATAAATTACTTTAATTATAGATTATATTAAAAAACATGAAGGATTCTATATTTTAATATCCTCAATAGACTTCTTGTATGTACCTTCTTACATGTTCACAATTCTCTCTTTCTCTTTCTTTTTAATGTAAAGTTTATCAATCCCATAATCTCAATACATAACTTTACAATATTATTTTCTATATCTTAAAATAATAAAATAAGTTTTTCTACTTTTTCTATTATTTTCACATTTATTTAAATTTATAGCCTAATTTTTATTCCTATTTAATAAATGTATGAGTGTATATATTTTAAACATTTTGTTACTATCTCGTACAATAAATCTTAAGAATATTTGTAGAGTGAAACTCAAATTGAACGTTCGTAACATCTTTTACAGAGTAATGCCAATGTTTTGAATAAATCTACGCGACAGTTTTGCCTGCATATCGATCATTTTATGGAAACAAATAACGAAATCCAAAAAGGAAGAAAAGGAAATTGAATTGTTGTTGAGCATAGCTTATGGTGTATATCTTTTTCAATCTATTTTATGAATTAATTTTTAGATCTAATTTAGCGTTATTTTAGGTTTTAGAGCACTTCATAAAAGAAAAAATTAGCAAAAATAAAATAATAAAATTAAAATAATAACATATTACATGCAACTTAATATAAAATATTGCAATGTTAATAACACACAAACGCTTATTGATATTTTAGATAAATTATATAATTATTTGATTTATAACTGTCCGATTTATCAATGTTTTAATGAGACTCCGTGTATAATTCTCATTGATTTTAGATATAGCTAAATGATCATCATTTACGTTGCCCCAAGTAATTCCAATTCATGGCATGCATTAAGCATGCAGCCGAATAATTAACCTTTGTTGTGGCTGAACAACATTTACAGTATTATTCCAGTTACTTATAATATTTCATGAAATAAACAGCAGAAAATCATTATTTTACGAGCGTAATTACGCGAATTTCGGGAGGATTACACATTGCTAATGTAACATAAATGTAACATAGTTTTATCAGAATTTAACAGTTAACAAACTTAATAAATTGTTTATTAAAGATAAACTTTATAAAACATTTTCAATATTTTTGTCATATTTTCAATATTTTTGTCACTTATGAATGTTACAAAATTACCATTTTATTAATGCATAAATTGAACATTTTTTAATTATTATCAGACCGATACATAAACTAAAATGACAAACTCTTATTCTTAAAATGACAAAATTAAAAATAAATATTAATAAATTATTTAATTTATCTTTTCACATACTATACAGAATTGAAAAATATCCTTAAAATATCTACATGTATATATATATATATATATATATATATATATATATATATATATAAAAATAGACATGTTGTTAATGAAAAGTATTTACCGTATTAATTTATTAAAAGTAGCACAATGCAATAAAACAAAAAAAATAAAAGATGAATAAATAAAAAGTAAATTAAGACTTGAGATCTATAATCATATTTAATCATTTATACTACTAGATAATTAGCGTTTGCAAACTATATTGTCCAATGTTTCAACGCACAATAGGAATTACGCATCAAGAGATGTCGATTTTGATTTCACAAGAACAATGATACAGCAGATTATTAGATTAGAACATAACAACAGATTCAATTAAGAGCCCGATCAAATATAATCGCAGATCAATTATGATATAATGAAATATTTATTGACCAGTGCGTAGATAAGCACACACATATTTTCAATTCTTCATTTTATTTTGCTAATTTATAAAAACAAATTTACAAATTCTTAAAATATATTAAGATAATCATGCATTTCTAAAATGCATTTAATCACTTTTTGAATTCACAAGTGCAATATATGAAATAGTACCTTAAAATTCATATATTATGTCAACTTCCACTTTCAAAGTCATTCACATATGTTGGATTTACATTGTGCTCGTTTCAAATAATGCACGCGTCAATGAACCATACAAATTCTCGAATGCGACAATTTAATCCCAACGAGCCATAACGCGAGCAATCATAACGCGCTCATCGAAATTGCGTGGCTGCGTGTGAAATGCGCCGATTCCGAGGACCTAGAAAGCGGCCCGATGAACCGCGAAAGCTAATTAATATCTTCGGGAAGTCGGGGATATGTATTTCGTCTTTCAATTAGATCGAACGTGTGCCTAGCGTGTACATACGCCCGCGTTGTCTACGTTCGCACACTGCCACTCGGTTCATATATATGCATGTGTATTTATACATGTATATGTATGCGCGAAGCGTGCACGTGACGTGGAACAAATGGCGATATTAATTACCGCGATTTGCCATCTCCGATACTGAAATCGACCCCTATTAATTTGAGCTTACACCTTTCGTTCGCCTACGCCTTGCTCGCCTCCGTCAGGTAAATTCATTCTTATTTCTTCATCCTATCAATATATAATCGCATGTCCTTATTTATTAATCTTTCCAATCTGTCTTACTCGTATTATTCATATATACGTTTTCTTTCAAACAAATCATGCTTTTTTGTGGTAACAATAAGCAAATAGCATAGAATCTAATTAAAAAATGTCAATTATATTCATTTAATTAATTTCTGACATTACTTGTGATAAAGTATGATAATAATTTTTTATCATCCCGAATCGAAATTTTACAACTACTTTACACTTTTAATCATACTTTGCACTCCTATACTTACTATAATTTAACTTTAATACCATACTTGTATATTCTTTTAAATATTGTAGTTTTGAGAATATGTGTCAAAAATTATCATATTTTAAAAAGAGAGAAAAAGACACATTGCAACAAATAGCAAGCTATGCAGTATCACATTCTCTTTCAATTGTATATATTGTTCTATATTTTTCTGAAACAATTGGTGAAATCAATATTTTTTGACTCGCCAAATTTTTAGTATTGCTTCATATATTTTTTCGTAGATTATTCGTTACGTCGAATAACGCAAAACGGTATAAATTTGCATTTTAACGTAGAAAACGTGTTCTTTACTAAATATTGCCCGTTACGCACTTCATATGTACAGTTTTACTTTTAAATTTGTAATTTATGATATTCAGCTTATTAAAATTGCATATAATTGTCGTTGTGAAACAATCGAAACAGTTTTACAATTAAAATGCTACCGCGAGAACACAAGAGATGCTGCGTATAAATAGTATATAAACTTTGATACGAGGTAGCATATCGAATATTTGTCACGTATTGCTTTACATTGTAATAATAATAATTCTGTGCTGCAATCAAATATTAAAGTAGTAATGCACTACAATTCTCATTCAATAATATCTGTGATTTATTTTCAATAATAATTCTGACACACAATCCGAGATAATTAAAAATTGTTAAGTATATATATGACTTTTTCGTCCTGTATATTTAATTTTGCATTCCATATAAATTATGTAGAAATACAAAACCAGCTTTTTAATTGAGCTTTATAAATAAAAAGTATACTTCTTTTACTGAAATGTATTATAGAATATAGAATATTACATTTTAGAAAATTATACGAAAGTTTTTAATTGCACTATCGATTGAAATTTTAATAAAAAAAATCTCGAGAGATTTCGCAGAATAATCTTTTGCAAGTAATTGCGGCATTTCTTGCATTCGTTCGCATGCATCATAAATGCAATAAGATACGATATAACGGAGGCCTCTTGTACAAGAGCATTGTATAATTTTTCAAAGTAACATTGAGGTGCAAATCAAAAAAACCAGTCTTGACAGACAGAGTCAGAGCGAATGAAGTCAAACGTACGTACAAGATAGGAGCATCAGGGAGTGAAATATGGCGACAAGGTTGGACGACGTACAGGTCAAGGATAGAAGATGACTCGGAATAAAACGACTCTTCGTACTACCCTAACGCAATTTTCTCTACTTCTTCGACCCTCTCGAACCGCGCACTCATAACTCGGTAAAGTGGAATATCTCAAAAAGTCTGTTTCATGTTCTCCGAGCTGGTTTTTTTTTTTTTTTTTTTGCTTTTTACCATTTGTCGCAGAAGTTTTTAAATTATTGACCAAATGGTTTAAGTAATTTATACTTTAGATTTTTCGCAATTTATGTGAAAGCGATGTTGTTTCGCTCTCGTGAAATATTCCTTTCTTTATTAACGTTAAAATAATTATCAAATAATTAATGCTTCTTTTCTCTTTTAATTGTAAATTTTTTCTATCAAGATTGTCATTTGTCAAGAAATAAAATAACTCACAGTACTAAATCTTGATGCTTTAAGGCGCCGTCAAGCTGCGAACATTTATTGGCGGTTTTATCGTGACATTTATTCAATTATTTTCTTCACGCGGACAAATACTGCCCACGATAATCGATAAGATAGTAAGCAGTTTTCCAGGAACATCGATAACAACATTGTGATGATCGACATATTGTTCAATGTAGGAGGTAATAGGCAATTTCAGTATCAAATAAGCTAATATATCAATATCATTACTCAAAGTCTCCAATCGTGATACCAAGCTGAGATAGGAAAACACATCCCTTTCCCCGCTCATATTTCACATCTTGAATACAATCTATAGATAGTATTTAACTATAG